GTCTGGGCATGCTCCCCCTGTGCCTGGGGCTGTCCGCCGCCGCCCCGAGAAGAGACCCCGATCTGGACGGCCACTGGCAGCTGTGGAAGTCGTGGCATAGTAAGGACTATCATGAGGTGAGAGCCCCCCCACCCTGGACGGGTGTGCTTAGCTTAGCAAACACCAAGGCACGCAGCTGGGCCCAGAGAGCTGAGTCATGCGTGACTGCTTTGTTTTAATGCTGGCTCTGATCTGCATTTGTGGAAGATAGTCCCTCTTCCCAGATCCCTTTCCTTTGTTCGTGTAGCTAATCGTTTGTGCTGTGTTTGTTTTATCTTCTGAGGATGGCAAAATTACCCTCTCTTGCATAATGTTCAGGTTTTTGTTTGAGTAACTTCTCTTTGCTTGAGTCTACTAGCTGTAAGAAAGCATACTGTAACTAACACAAAACTCTGCTTGAACTTTCTCCTTGAAGTATGTTGTTTTCTGGCCCTTCAGAGAGAGGAAAACTGGAGGAGAGTGGTGTGGGAGAAGAATCTGAAAATGATTGAACTCCACAATTTGGATCACTCCTTAGGAAAACACAGTTACAAGTTGGGAATGAATCAGTTTGGTGACATGGTATGTATAAAGGCAGGTGTAAACCATAGCTCTAAAGAGCAGTGTTTGCTTAGACAGTGATTACATGTTTTGAATCCTCCTAAGACAACTGAGGAGTTCAGACAGCTGATGAATGGCTATCTCCACAAGAAGTCAGGACGGAAGTACAGAGGATCCCAGTTCCTTGAGCCCAGCTTCCTGGAAGCACCAAGATCTGTAGACTGGAGAGAGAAAGGATATGTAACTCCAGTTAAAGACCAGGTATTCTATGATGGTGGGCTTCTAACTAGTTATAGAATAACTATATAGTTATTCAGTTCTCTGAATGCTGCCTCCATTTCCATAGAGCAAAAACACTGAGGACTTGCTTAATGAAGACTGGTGCAAGCTTACTAAATTAATTGCAACTTCAATAAAATTTCTGTACTACTTTAGAATTCATGGGATTTGTTCTCACATAAATGTCTAGAAACTGGATAGACTTCAGTAGCTTTAGTTCATGTTCCTAGTGTATACAAATGAAGCTGGACTTGGCTTGTTCCTTTTTCATATTTGGATGGTGGTGGGTATTGTTTATGTACTTGATTTGCCTGGAGTGGTAACTTGTGACTTCACTTTTTGCTTCAGGGTCAGTGTGGCTCTTGCTGGGCTTTCAGCACAACAGGAGCTCTGGAAGGGCAGCACTTCAGAAAAACTGGCAAACTTGTTTCATTGAGTGAACAGAATCTGGTGGACTGTTCCCGTCCTGAAGGGAATCAAGGCTGCAATGGTGGTCTCATGGACCAGGCTTTCCAGTATGTGCAAGACAACGGGGGAATTGATTCAGAGGAATCCTACCCATATACCGCAAAGGTAAATGTAATAGCTGAACTCGTATTGCAAGTGTTACATGTTTGTCCACACAAAGTATGTATATGTGTCAGGAAACTCCTACCTGGAAAGGAAGTTGTCTACTGAAGTAGTCATCAGTACATGTGTTCTTCCTCTTGCATCTCTTCCCCAAGAAAACTAGGATGACTCTTAGCCCCAGGTTCAGTAAGAACTACGTACTGCCACTGGTCTTTGAGGTCAAAACCTTACCAGACCAGCTGGAAAAACTAGAGCAAATATTTTTATTCCTCCTCCTTGTTGCTGTCCTCCTATCAGACCTCAGGTCTTATCTTCATTGACACCCTAAGCCAAGACCCAGCACTTGTCAGAACTGCTATTTAGTCTTAGGGACGTAATTCTGCTTCTCATCACTAAGCTATTATGGAGTGCTACCCACAGACCAGCTAATTTCTGTAGCTGGCAAGACTGTGGCAGATGATTGCAGTCAATGTCTTATGTTCTGTTTCTCAGCTAACTGTGTGGAAATGCAGATGATGGGCAGACTTCTGAAACAGTTCTAACGATCTACCAGAAGTTAAATCGGCATTAGAAAAAGAAAGATCAAGAATAGTGATCTGACTTGAGAGCCCAAGGTGTGGGCTTCCTGCTCACTAAAGAAACTAAACTTAGTTCCTTCAGATAGCAAAGCTGATTGCGGTGGTTAGTTTGCTGATTATAATCAGCAAACTGAGTTGCTTACTGTGCCCTGCGTTCCTTTAATTGTTCCTAAGTATATAAGGGGAAAGGCAGCTCCCGCTCTTTTATCACACAAGTAAGGCAGGGATGTGCATGCTCTCGTTTATCTTGACTTCAGCATGGCCTGACTTGCAAATTAAGCCTCCCTCTTGCGGTAATTGGCTGTGGTACTAACAGTTTAGATTTCGTTCTAAAAAAGATGATAATGTGAAGAAGAATCCTAAAATAAGAAGGCTGTATGTAAGTCCATGTAATAAATGACCAATTTCCAGATTATTCAGAGTAGTTTTTGGAACTCTTGGACAGTGTGTAAAACTGGATTTTAAGTGCTTGCTTGCTGAGCAGTTTCTGGACTCGTTTGTAACTAATGAATGGTTGGCTCTCCTCCATTGCCCATTAATGCATTCTAGGCTTCTTTCCTCTCTGAAAAGAAATTTGTCCTGCCCACCAAAGAGGGCAGGGTTGCAGGATGTGAAGCCCTTTTGCATCCCAGCAAAGCTCCCCTTATGGAAGGGTTCCCCCGCCACGGCCCCGGTCCTTTTTTCTCCTTTTTTCTGTACCTTGGGGAAACTGGAAAATAGCTGCTTGCTTTTGCTCTGCTCTTCTCCTTTAAAAGCATTATTGAAACAACGGGATCCTTTTTAAAGGCAATAAAGTTGCAGATGTAGTTTCTGTGCTCACCTGTATGTGTCTTAAGTGGAGAACTATATATAGTAACTAGGGCTTTTTCCCTTTAGGATGACGAAGACTGTCGCTACAAGGCAGAGTATAACGCTGCTAACGACACTGGCTTTGTGGACATCCCTCAGGGACATGAAAGAGCTCTCATGAAAGCAGTAGCTTCTGTGGGTCCAGTATCTGTTGCTATTGATGCAGGCCACTCTTCGTTCCAGTTTTATCAGTCAGGTGAGGATTTGTTAGCAGCTTGCATGCAAAGAAATCTTTGCTACTTGCTTAACACAGGATTGATTACCCTTGAATTTAATTGAGGGAAGGCAGGAGCTATGACCTTGTAACCTCACAACAGAGCCACGGTTTCTTTTAATTCAGGTCTAGATTCTCCACTTTTGGAACTTCTTGCATACATGTGTCCTTGTCCCTCAGTTTCTGCTGTGGCACAGTTCACTTGGAACCTCTCTATGATTAATTCAAGAAGCTGTACAAGGCCTGATTTCTGAAATGTACATATTCAGATGAGGGAGAAGGGTTTCCTGAAAGTGAGTTTGCCCGTATGCTGGGGTTGTTTCTTATCTTTACAAACTTATTCCTCCTCAGGTATCTACTATGAACCAGACTGTAGCAGTGAAGACCTGGACCATGGTGTTCTGGTTGTAGGTTATGGCTTTGAGGGGGGAGATGTAGATGGCAAGAAATACTGGATTGTTAAGAACAGGTGAGGTCTTCCTCTGTGTCCAGTACCCTTGCAGGGAGAGGGAGGGAAGGAGGGAGTTACTTGTCTCTTCTTGTAGGTTTGTGGGGGTGGGAAAGATGGTTGTTGATATACATGTGCAAAACGTGGAGACTGTTCTCAGAGTATTATATGGCAGAAGTTAAGCACAGCTTGTGCTGCTGGCTGCCTAATAATTGGGCCCCAAGCAGCAAACTCGTTCTTCTGCATTTTGAGTTAATTCCAAGGATCTTCATGCTGCAGTAGCCCAAGAAGCTGTTAAAGTGGTGGAGGTGAAGGGGAATAAGGTTGTGGGGGGAGATAGATCTTTGGAAAGGAAAGGGTTGCTCACTTGGGTGAAGTGGAGTAGCCCTTGAACTTTTAAAATGGAGTTAGACCCCTAAGCCAGAGGGAAAACAGTAAACTAAGGCCAAAAGGCACATCACATGAGCTTCGTCTTATTCTCAGCCCTACTAGGGCACTACCCTCAAATCCTGCTTGCAGACTAGGTTCTTGCTAAAAAAGACGGTAGGGAGCAGTGTCTCTGAGCTTCAGACCCCTGTAATCCAGGACTGAATGTAGAGGCTTCCACCTAGGAAGAGGAGCAGCTAGAGGGCTGCACCCTGCACCCTCTATTTGGTAAACTTTTGGTGCCGCTTCTGTCTGTAATGTACCTTGGTTTGTTTGAAAGCCCCCTGTAGCTTGTTTGTAGCAAGAGTGCAGAAGGCAGCAGTTCTCAGTTTCAACCCTTTCTGTAGGGTAAATATAAGTCTCTTTCTGAAAATGAAAACAAACCCTTTACTTTTATTTTCAGCTGGGGTGAGAAGTGGGGTGACAAAGGATATATCTACATGGCAAAAGACAGGAAGAACCACTGTGGGATAGCAACAGCTGCTAGCTATCCACTTGTATAATTTGAAGACTGAACATTTCAGTGCAAGAGGGGTTTTAAACTGAAAGACCAAACCCATGTTCATACATGTGGTAGACTTATATCCTTCAAAAGTCAACTTGATATTTTTTTACTTTTGAGTTTTACATGTTGGTGATATGCCACTTGTTTTAAATTAATGTAAATGTTGGTATGTAAACAGCTTGTAATATTGCTGGCTTTTGACTGCTTAATCTAATAGATTCTTCTATGTATTTTTTCCTTTTTTAAATTGCAATGTGCCCAAAGTTTTACTTTTTAAATAAACACTTGAATTCCAGTGTGTACAGATGACTTGGCTTTTTGGTCTTTTTTCTTGACACTGTATCAAATAGTCATCCTAAATGATACTGTTAACTGAATCTTGTATAGATACTTCTTTCATGAATTACAAAAATGCAACTGCATCCAGAATGGCTAACAGCTGTTAGAAAATGGAACGTAGTATGTCTGTGAAACAACAAATTATTTGAAAGGAGAAGTAGAAAAATACCTTTATCCACTAAAATACTAGTCAACGTGACCGAAAAATGTGACCCTCACTTTTTTTTGCAGCTAACTACTCTTGAATGTAAGTGTATTGATTACGCTAAGTCCTGTGATCCTAAGGAGTTGCTGGTATCTGTGGTTCTTTGTACTTCACAACAAAAACTTTACTATTTTCATGTCTTGCAGTATAGGATTGAACTACCCAGTCTTCACTTGGCTCTAGTCCTGTGATTCCTGGCCTAATATTTCCCTTGCCTCAAGGGGGATTAGAAGAATCAGACTGCTTTAATTAGGGTACGGGTTTCCTTTTGAGCATGTAGGGTGGAGGGCAGGAGGCTGGTTCTACTGCTCAGCTAGTGTGGGTCCTGCGCTTATGAAGCCATAGGTTTTAAGTAGATTTTCTCTGAAACCTGTAGTAGGCCTACACACAAGGGAACACTTGGAATACACATCAAGGAAGCTGAGTTCCCTTATTGTGGGGGAAAGAGAATTTTAAAACTTGCATTTTCTAAACCCTTCTTGAAAGGAAGAAGCAAAACTTTGAGGTATCTAGTGTAATTGAATCTCAACTGTTGATCAGCTAGGAGCCTGTCTGTGATGAATTATAGATGAAATTTTGCGATCTGAATCTCCCTTTTCTCCCTTCTTAAAAATAAAAAAACTATGTGGATGAGCCTCACTGCAGAGACTATTTAACAAGCTACAGCAAGGAAATACTAGTTAGCATTTAGCTATTCAGCTGACTTGCTAAACCTGTTATGAAGAACAGCCACACTGCTTGGCAGAAAGTATGGACAAAACAAATGCGTAAGGCACTCAGCTGATGGTCCTCTAAAGCATTACTTCCAGAAGGAAACGGTAGCGGTCTTTCAAAATGGGAAGCAAGATCAAAACTCTTAAGGAAGTGAATGTGTAAGCTCCCTGTGCAGCACCTGCTTTTCATTCTAGTTTTCTGAAAACAAGGTGTTAACAGAGACCTGTCTCTCTAAGCATTCTTTTTTTTTTAATGCAGGAAGATTACTGCAAGTTTAATGGCACTTTAGATGTCACAGGTTTTATATCCTGATTCTAACAACAAGATAGTGAGAATATCCACTGCAGTATTAGCCTGGTACAAAGCCTGCTGAGCATAAGAGAAAAGCGTTCTATTAATAAAGCCAAGCTTAATGAAAGTTACTGGGAAAACAATTGTTGGTGAACAGTTGGGGAAGGAGAAGGAAACAACTTTCTAAAGGGTGTGTACACAAATGAGAAAGTAGTTCACGAGAGAGACATCAGCCTATGACTTTTTTTTTTTTTTTTAAGAAATAAAATGTGATAACAGCTATTTGTATGCATTAAACTTCCTGACTGTTCTGGCTGAATATCCTCTCTTCTGAGTAGAATAAACACATAGAGGGGAAGGGTAAATCAGGTTGTGCAGATAAGTAAATATTTACATGGTCACCTTAAGTAACAACTTCACCAGGGACTGCCATATGTGACACTATAAATACTAAAATTTTAGTAAGTTGTAGGTAAGCAGCCCAGCAGAAGTTTTAAACCTGTTACGTTTCAAGAACTGCGTTAAATGTTTATGTATATAATTCCATTGCAGTTGCCCCGTCTTCTAAAGAACTGTTTATTTACTTTAGAAGTGCATTTATGATGTATCTGTTGATTTCATAGCGGGATGTGTCCTGTTGGGGAAAGTGTCCTCTCTGTTATCAGTTGCTCCTTTCTAAAGACACAGCAAATGAACATCTTACACGTGTGTGCACAGAAAACTCCTGAGTTGTTCCTGGAAGTTATAGGTAATTAAAGCCTTTGATGACTCTGTTTCTATATTGAAATACTTGATTTTAGTCAGGAATATACTTGGTTGTATATTCCCGTTGAAAGCTGAAGTTGCATTTATTACAAGATATATTATTTTTAAGGGTTTTAGAGCACGTGTATTATCAGAAAATTGTCCTATTTAGGCACTGTCTGAATTACAGCAACTTACGTTAGTGAGGTCTGATTTTCATGCTGCTCTAAAGATGTGATTTGGCCAATATGTGACAGGTTTAGTAGATGATAGTTCTGTACAGGCATAAGCTGTATGATCGTGGCTTGCTTTCATCTCATTGTAAAAATGAAGATGAAAAAAATTAAAATGAATTTTAATTAAATTTGGGAAGAAAAAAGGTTTTGCATTTGGTTTCTGTGTGCTGGTGCTCCTTTGGTAGATACGGCTTGTCCTAAAGGTCTCATGAGAATAAGTTTCTCCCATCTGTCTGGTGAATGACTGTATTTATTTTTAGTTGGTCGTACGATTCTAATGTCCTTGAGGTGAGGAAAACTACGAAAATAAATTATTTAACTTATGCGTGAAGTGGTTATTCTTTAAACTCCGGTGAGAAATGAATCTAAATCTCATGTACGAATCTATTTCTTTTCACATTTAAAAAAAAAGTCATTTGCATTCTATCTGTGAAAACTAAGTACAGTGTAACTTTGTTTTTCTTTCATGTCCATTGTTTCACATCTTTGCTAATGTTAAATTTATTTCTAAACATTAACAGTTCAGTAAATAAGCTTACTACCCCCCCTTACCAATCTATGCAGGAAAGCAGGTTTCAAGATAGTAACTTTCTAAAGGGCTATGGTGACAAAATATTTTTTATCTCATTCTGTTGCAACTTTTCAGGGAAGTCAAACATGTGATGAGTTCTATCAGTGAGGTTTTACTGTAGTGAATGATTAACTGGTCATTTGCATTAGGACATTCAGCAAGTACATCATACCTAGACAACTGGAGGCATAGGAAAATAGGAAAACCCACCCCAAAAAAACAAGGAGGAAAAAAACCATAGCTTTTGGGTATCACTTATGGAGTATCTGCTCTTTAATTATCTTTTTAATTAAATCAAAAATCTTGCCGGGTATCTCTTAAGTTTAATATTGATTAATCAGTTTTTACATATTAGATAGTAACTGCAGCTCCTGGATTGTGACTGAGCAAATTGAGCGTACTCTGATGGCTGTGTTAACAAAAGCTGACTTGTTACTTCCTAGCTCTCTTTGCACTTAAAGTACAGGACAGACTGAGATTTTAATTGCAGTCTGTCCCAATATCCTTCACTCTTTTTTTCTTTATTGGGAAGTCATAGCAGGAAATGGTAAGACTTAAGATACTGTTTTTAAGAAAGGATTGGTTAAAGATGAAATCACTTGGTGGGGATGTGTGACTCATTCTCTAATCAGTGCTTTATGAGGTCATTATTGAAATTTCAGGTAGATGCAGGGGTACTTAAAGCATTTAGAAGAAAGGATGCCATCAGACACAAATCTAGATGATATTCAATAAGGCTTCTCTCAACAGACACAAGGAGCCAAACCTGCAGCTTCAGTTTGGGGAGGAGGAGGGTTGGCCTCATGGTGGAGACCTGATCTGTGCGTTAGTTAAGGCCCCTAATATAATGAGATTAGGAGATGCTATCTTCACTTATGTTCTCAGGGAGCATCACTGTATTTAGATTCTTTTTTCAGGCTAAGCTGCATAAAGATTGGTCTTAAGCCTTCATTTCTGTGGTAGTTACTTATTTCCACTACGATTATTTCTATTGAAGAGCTTTTTCCAACCTTTGTGAGCCAAGGCCCAAAGAAATGATGAAGTCAGGCATTTATAAAATAACCGCTGGGTTCTTCTTAAAGTGTTTCTTCCTTGTTTTTTGTTCATTTACAATTCTCACCTTCTCCAGGAGAGCCAAAACATATTTCCGAGTAAAACCTAATAGCCTTTCCTAGTCAAGTAATGTGGGGAAACAGATGTGGTAGAAACATCAAGGTGTATTGTCAGGTGTGGGGCTGCAGCTCTGGTTCCTACTCCATAACCTTCCGCAGCCTTGCCTATTTGGGAAGAAGTGGTCAAAGATGGAGCAAAGTCAGAGGGGGAGCCACTTGGTTCCTCAGCCACCTGCACAAGACATTTCCAGGTAAGGTTTGGTTTGTGTCGGCCTTAGGGGAAAGTTTGTGGCTGGGCTGAGATTTGAGCAAAGAAGAGAAGGTTCTTCAGCCTGGTAGGGGTTGTCCTTGTGCTTTATGTGGTATGGGAAACTTTTGACATATATCTGGAATTAACTTTGGGTTTTGAAGTTTTTCATCTGCATTAGTGTGCATTCTTCTACCATGAGACTGGTTTAGGTGTGCTCTTCTGGGGTGCCACAGCAGGCCCTCTGAAGCTACTGGGGTTATGACTTTATGGGTCTCCTCAGGAAAAGAGCAATCTCAGGAACTGTAGTGGAAATATTCCGTGTAAGTTTTGGAAGTAATGATTGTGCTAGTTTCTTTTAATTATTAGTAAAACCTTGCACAATGCGTGTGCAAGAACATAAAATTGTTTAAAACAAATGCTGGGCTGTTAGACACTCACTTAATCCCAGTTAGTACATGGAGGGAACAGATGCTGAAATAGGGTGCTGAGAACTCCTTGCTGCTGGTCACAGAATCACAGAATGGCCAAGGTTGGAAGGGATCTCTGGAGATCATCTAGTCCAACCCCCCTGCTCCAGCAGGGTCACCTAGAGCACATTGCGCAAGATTGCATCCAGGCAGATTTTGAATATCTCCAGGGAAGGAGACTCCACTACCCCTCTGGGCAACCTGTGCCAGTGCTCTGTCACCCTCACAGGAAAGAAGTTTTTCCTCATGTTCGGACGGACCTTCCTGTGTTTCAGTTTGTGTCCATTGCATCTTGTCCTGTCACTGCACACCATTAGATGCCCCCCTCAGTCTTCTCTTCTCCAGGTTCCACAGGCCCAGCTCTCTCACCCTTTCTTC